CCTCCCAGCTGCTGCTGCGCCCGCTCGAGGTGTATGTACACCTCAAACCTTCCAAACACAAACCCTTCCCCTTTGCTGCTCCTTTCTCTTCTCCCCCTTCCCAAAACTCGAGGCTGCTGCTGCAGCAGCAGCAGCAGCAACCCCAGCAGCAGCAGCAGCAGCAGCAGCAGCAGCAGCAGTAATTGAGGTGTACGTACACCCAAACGCAGCAGCCAACCAACACCAGGGGGCCCCCCACAGCTTTTGCCCAGTGCCTCGAGGGGCCCCCAAGGGTCTCCAGTTACAGCACAGCGAACTGCAGCAGCAGCAGCAGCAGCAGCTGCTGCTGCTGCTGCTGCTGCTTCTCTTCATGACCCCATTCGGGGGGGCCCCAGACCCTGGGGGCCCCGGGGGCCCCGGGGGCCCCCAAGGCCCCAGGGGGGCCCCACAGGGGGCCCCCCTAGAGGCTGGGTGGGGAGATTTGCTGCTGAAGGATGCGGAGCGCCTCTCAGCCTACATCGAGCAGCAGCAGCAGCAGCAGCAGCAGCAGCAGCAGCAGCAGCGGTGGCGGCAGCAGCAGCAGCAAGAACTGGAGCTTTCTTGGGGCAGCAGTGCTGCTGCAGCGGTGCTGCCGGCGCTCCGGCGTTTGCTGCTGTCGTCTTGTTCGGAAAGGGCGAAAATAAGAGAAACTGCAGAGCTGCTGCTGCAGCAGCAGCAGCAGCAGCAGCTGCAGCAGCAGCAGCAGCAGCAGCAAGGGCCCCTCAGCACTCAAGACCCCAAAATACTCGCCGGCAAACTTTGGCTGCAGGGGAGGCTTTTTGCTATTCATGAAAGAGCCCCGCTGCAGCTTTGAGGTGTACGTACACCCCAGAGTTGCTGCTGCTGCTGACGCTGCTGCTGCTGCTGACGCTGCTGCTGCTGCAGCAGCAGCAGCAGCATCCGTTCGCTGCGCAAGGCCAATTAGAGCTGCATATATGCAGCAGCAGGAGCAGCAGCAGCACGCACGTGCCAGTGGAAGCGCTGCTGCTGCTGCTGCTGCTGCTTAGCAGCAGCAGCAGCAGCAGCAGCAACAGCAACAGCAGCAACAACAGCACTCGGGATGGCTTTAATGAGTATGTTAAAGGTCTTAATCTTTTTAAAAAAGATGCAGCAGCAGAAGAGCTCCTCTTCAGGGCTTGATTAGGGTTTAGGGTTTAGGGTTTACATGGCGCCCGAAACGTAAACCCTAAACCCTAAAACCTAACCGGCCAGCTGCGCAGTCAAAGGGAGTTGTGTCTTATTGGGCAGCGCTGCTGCTGCTGCTGCAGCTGCTGCTGCTGCAGCTGCTGCTGCTGCTGCTGCTGCAGCTGCTGCAGCTGCTGACGGAGGCGGCAGCAGACTGCAGCAGCAACCAATTTGCTGCTGCTGCAGCTGCTGACAGAGGCGGCAGCAAACTGCAGCAGCAGCCAGTTTGCTGCTGCTGCGGCTGCTGACAGAGATAGCAGCAAACTGCAGCAGCAGCGAGCCTGCTGCTGCTGCTAGTAAAACATGTCGCTGCTGCAGCAGTGGCAATTTTGCTGCTGCTGCTGCTGCTGCTGCTGCTGCTGCGCGCGTGCGCAGCGTCTAAACAGTGCGAGACTCAAGGGTTTAGGGTTTAGGGTTTAGGGTTTAGGGTTTGTGGCTGCCCTTGGCGCTGCTGGGCGGTTCGAAGCGGCGCACCGGCGACAGCTGCAGCAAAAGTGGAAGCAGCAGCAGCAGCAGCAGCAGCAGCAGCAGCAAAGAAATGAATTAGAAATAAAAGAGTGCAGCAGCTAATTAAATGCCATTATTGAAATATAAATTAATTTAAATGCCATTATTGAAATATAAATTAATTTGAATGCCATTATTGAAATATAAAGGGGAAAGACGCATGCAGCAGCGAAGCAGCATTTTGCAGGTGCTGCCATTGGGGTGTACGTACACCTGGGAGTGCTGCGCATGCGCTGGAGTTTCTTTATGCAAATAAATGTACTTTTAATTCATTAATGTTCATTTTAAATAAATATATTTAATACTTTTGATGTTCGTTTGCAGCTGCTGCTGGCGTGCATGCTTTGGGTGTACATACACTGCAGAATATGTGTGTAGTTACTATATATTTGTGCAGTGTATGTACAGTGGGGCCTGCATGCAGAAGGGCTGGGGACGGCGGAGGAAATAGATCCAAAAGAGGTTTAAAATGAAAGATTTGAATAAAATATTTAAACAAAAGAATAAAATAAAACATTAAAAGAATAAATGAGGCAAGAGGAGCAAAAGCAGCAGCAGCGGGCTTTCGGGTGTACACGCAGCTCGTGGGGTGTATAGGCAGCTCCTGCAGTGCGCGTCTGCAGTTTTTGAGTTTCAGTCCGCCGTTTTCTTTCATTTAATTAATTAAAGATTTATTTTAGTTGAATTGTTTTTAATTTTATTTCAGTTTTTGCATTTGCTGCTCACTCTCAGCTCCTCCTCGTGCTGCAGCCGCGCCTCCCTGTTGAGCGCTGCCAGCAGCCCCTTGACT